TTAAATCCGATGATCTCCCAAGTGGCGCCAAAACACCACGCCGCACTTGCAAAGCGATGGGCGGAGCGTAGGTGGGGGGAGGCGGGAATCAAAGTACGCAAACACCGAGTCTCACTTTTTTTATTCCGACAATAACACATCTTTGATATCTTTGATAGGAGCTGAGAAAAATTAGCTTGAACTTGAGAGTGTGAGAAAAAACTCACTATCTTTTGTCATTCCAACTTGGAGACATTTTTGGTATCGACAATATTGGCATATACGGTTCTCACGGCTTATTTCACATGATTTCACTCTTCTACAGAAGTAATAAGTTTGACGGCTTTTTGTTCGACGGAAGAATGCCTGAAAAAAACGTATGTTAGGGTTTCATGTGGTTTCTTCAATTTTTTCAACTTTGGCAATTTTGGATATTTTCGGGTATTGAACTACCGACTTTTTTAAACCTTGAAGAGCAAAATTTCGAAAAATTCAATAAACAAAATATATAACTCGAAAACTCCACAAACTCGAAACTCCACAATAGAAAACTCCACAACATCCGAACTGCGACCGCTTTATTAAAATTATACGAAGTCACTGTAAACCCTGTAATAGATGGGCTCCTATACCGTCAAGTTTGAACTCAATCTCGGTTCCTATGCGAGATGTCAAAAAGAGTTGCCAACTTTTTGATATCTTCCCCAAGAACACGATTAATAGAGTCAAAGTTAAACGCTAGGAAGCCTTTCTATTATAGGTGTTTTTTTCACACAAAAGAAACATTTGCGTGTTTTTTTTTCAGATGAAAAATTTTCAAAATTTCAGAACTGCAACTATTCCTCACCTTACAACCTTCACATGACATCACTCCATAATGAAGCCCACTGGCTTTGTCTCCTCTCACAAACTTTACAGATCTCACTTTTTTGTTGAATATTGTCAACGAAGCCGACATATGGATATGGTCCGCATGAGGCTGAAAAAGAATTATTGTATTTTTTAGGGTCCTAGAATTCTGCAAGTCCCGTTGAAACCATAAACGAGAACCGTGGAAAACAAAGACAACTAACTGTAAACACTCTAATAGAAGGTCAAACCTCTAACTTTGAGCTCAATTATGCCGATTCTTGAGAAAGATGTCAAAAAGTTGTCAACTGACAAAATGCTCATAATAATATCAAAAATACTTTTTCAGTTGACCACTTTCTGATATCTTCCGCCGGAACTGAGGTATTTGAGCTCAAAGCTGACTGTTTTGATGGCATGCTCAATGGGGTGTTACGGTCCTAGGATTTTATGGAATTTTGTATCAGAAATCCGTGAAATTCAAAAAAAATTGATTCTATGGAATATCACAAATTTGTATGATTCGTGAAGTTTTTATGATACCCGTAAAAAAAACTTCTAAATTTAAAGATTCTTACCACTGGCTGCTGGGGACACTGTGCTTTCTCTGGAGTTGATGAACTGTTGGTTGTAGGCGATCGAATTGTTCGAAGAGCTCTGATGGGGATCCCCGTAGACGGTATTGTTCTGAGCAGCCGATATCGGTTCACTAGACATTTGATTTTCTGATTCTTGCTTGATGTATTGCTGGAAAATTGATTTCTTGAAAATCTCTCAGAAAAAGAAATAAGCCTACCAAGTTGCTTGGATCATGTGACCACTTTTCATCCGGTTCATCAAATTCCAATTTCACAATCATTCCATCTGTCGGAGTATTGGTGTTCTGATTGTATGGATTTATGGTGCATAACGGAGACTTTTCCAAAGTTGTGTACGTCAACTCCTCGTGACTCATCTGAAAAATTGGAATTCAATAAAGAAGATGTCAATCTACAGAGGAGAAAATACAGACGGCAAAGAAAGAAAATCCAAATAATCGATTCGACAGAAACCATATTTTAAATCTCTGTCGTCTCTTCAATTTCCTTGTTCTCACACAGATTTTTTTGCTTCAAAAACACTTTAAACAAAATAGTATTGGTCATGAAGAGAGTGCAGACAGGCAGGCAGTAATTTCCAAAAGGGCGATCGACACCATTGCTCATAGAAAAACAAAAAAAAGTATTTTTTTAAACAATTTCGAAATTGGAGGTTTTCGTTTTTTAAAGTGGACGCGGGTTTGATCTAGATCATGATCTATTTTTCATTAAAATCAACGGGTTGCAACGCGCGCTTTTTCGCTCTTCATTTAACACTTTGAAACTCAGCCAACGAAATTTGGCAGCGATTTTAGAGTTTTTCCTAAATTTACTGGGGCGCGCTTTCTGACCCGCTCGCTTGAACCCAAGTGAGCAATCGATTAAATTTTAAAATTGTTTAAAATTTTTCAGCAGCTGTTAAAATATTTTCGATCTGTGTACCAGAAAAATATACATATAATTTTAAAAACAGGTTTGAAAATGTTATTGTCAAAAATGGGGATCTCGAAAGTTTTAGCTTTGAGCCAATTTTTCTCGATTCCTGTGAAAGATATTAAAAAGTTGTCAACTAATAAATTGTTTATCACAATATCACAAACATTTTATCATTTGACCACTTTTTGATATCTTCCATTGGAGCGAGGAAAAATTAACTCAAACTTGACATTTTGGGGATCATTCTATTAGAGATGAAGGACAAAAAAGAAGAACGGACGAAAAAAAACTGAATAATCGAGGAAAAAAGGTTTAAAAATCCCTTCAAAATCAGAGATTTTCAAATTGACAAAAATCGATGAAATTTAAAAAATCCTTTTTTTTTGGCGGATTCTGTGGCTTTTTGATCTACCACTATAAAAATCATAATTTTTAATAAAAACGATTTGTTAAAAATTTATATCTAATTTGGATATTCTTAATTTCTCAATTTCGAATTACAAAATTTTCGAAATTTGGATTTTCTGAATCTTTATATTTCCGAGTGTCTGAGAAACCAGACTTCAAAGTTTTCCATATGCAATATAATTATTCATCTTTTGTTATTTGAATTCTGAAAGTAGTATAGATAAGGAAGATAGGTTAGAAAATAGAAAAATACTCAAGAAAATCTAAGTAGTTCAAACATAAAAGTATTAGTCGTAAGACGAATAATGTGGATGGCAGAGATGTATGACTGCTAAATTCTGACAAGACAGTTGGAGACGCGGTACTTCGTAATGGTGACGACGTGACACACCTAATGAGAATCTGTGTTTGCGTTGTGTGTTGATTGTGTGTCTTCTGGGAATTTATGAATCGCAGAAACGCAGAGAAACGATTCTTTTTCTGATTGTTAGTATGAGCTTTGGGGGAAGGTGAGTCTCCTCCGAACGAGAGACGACGATTATGAGAAAGTGCATCATAAGGATATGATGTGCTGCACAATGTATCTTCTGGGAATATGAGATTGACGATAAAGAAACAATGATTTGTCACCGGCGTTGTCGACCTTTGGGGAGATAGAAATAGGTTCTAATCCCCTTTCTTCATTCGTAGGAATCTTTCCTAGTTGAAATCATATTTTCTGTAGGATAAGATTGACAAAGAGAAAAAAAAAGAGATTCATCGATTTTATATAAGACTGATCAACATATAGGATAAGAGTAAGCGATAAAAGTGTGATGAAAATAAATTTTGAACAAATTCAGAAGTTCATTATATTTCTAAAACCAATATTTGACTCCCAGGAAGCTGACTTCGAAAAACCACTCGAACCGCTGGTTTTTTTGCGTTTGATTTTCCTTCAAAATGATTTCATTTTTCCGCTTTCGTTCTTCTTTGATGATAGTAACACATCTGAAAACGAATTTATAGAATTTATCAACATTGATAACAAACCTTGCTGTCTGCTCTGTTATTTCATTTCGAGCCCGTACCAGATTCAACAAGCTGTTGCCCATTTTTTCATCCACCAATCCAAACGAATATGATGATCCGATTTCTCTTTGTGTTGACATCCAACATTGAATAAATCCGTAATACTGTTCAAGTGTTGGAATTTGACGAGCGAAATGGATTTCAATGTTTTTATTGGGAAGATTCTTGAGAGCCGTGGAAAGAACGGTAAAATCTTCTAATTGGAATAAAAGTTTCTTCGCATTCATTACAACGTCGTGCTGTAGGTTTTCAAAACTTTTGCTCATGTAAAGTAGTTCTAATTTTTTCAAACTAGAACTAGTTGATTCCAGAATTGCTGCCACTCGAGAAATATACTCCAATCTTATTGAAATTCTGTTAGCACTAACTTTAAATCCGATCGGTAAACGATGAACTATGCCGGTGCCTCTCATCTCAAATTTATTAACTTTTATCACAGAGCGACCGTCGAATATAATGTGATTCAGTTCTTTAGCAGCTTCGAATAGTTTGATGTTGTATGAATATTGTTCCACGCGTTTTTGATGTTCTTGTTTCAATGTGAACCTAATGCAACTAGAATATGGAGGTTGAATGTTGTTCCGTTGGTAATGAAACGGAAGAAGGTTGAAGCGGATGAAGTCTTGTCGGTTTGGTTCCAATCCGTCATTTAATTGCAATCTTCTCTCATATCTCCGTTCCACTTCATCTGTATCCTTTGGTAAGAAAATTCGGTTCTCTTCACGAAACGAGACATCTCCTGGTAGGATTGGAGAAGAATATGAAGACATTTTAAATCCGTACTTGTCCAGATCGTATGGAACTCCACAACGATCGTTAAACATCTTGATGAATTGGGGAACATCTTCAGTAGTTTGAAAGTTGCGATAGATTCCAAGGATGTAGTACGAATTGTTGATCGTCGTCGAGTATTCTTCTAATTCTAGAGAGTTGACTCTGAGAGGAACGGCTTTATCCGCGCAACGGATTTTCGGCATTCGCTGGTTCATTTTGATTCTGAAATATTGACATAAAATTAAATAGAATTTGAATCAAATCACCTCAAGTTGGCTTCCGTATGCAATATAATTGTTTTCAGACTCTCGTAATTGAGCGAACCATTATTCATGTTTCGGTTTTTCGACTTCTGGAAGAAGTTTGAAATAGAGAAGGTAGTTTGGAAAACATGCATGTATTAAAAATACATAAGAAAATCTAAGTAGTTCAAGCATAAAGGTATTAATCGTGAGACGCATACTTGCAACGAGCCGAGCCGGGCCTTCAAAAAGTTGGTCAAGGCCCGGAAGGTCCGGCCCGGGAGGCTCGGAAAGCCCGGCCAGTTGGCGCCAGCTTCGATTTTTAAACAAGAAAGTGGGTGTTTTTTTTTTTGGAAAAAAGTTGTTTTTATCATCTAATTTTAAGTTAAATTGTAAATATTGAATTTGTAAATGTTTAAACAAATTTTAGAAAAATAATTTTTCTTGAATTTTTCCAAAGTTGAGATCGAAGAAAAAATTGCATTTTTAAAGCAAAATACCAGTTTTTTGTTTAAAAATTCTCAAAAATTCATCAAAGAACAATTTTTTAAAAAGAAATTTTGACCAAAAAATACCTGTCCTGGCCTTCCGGGCCGGGTCGGGTCTTCAACGATTTTTGCAAGTATGGTAAGACGTATAATGTGGATGTCAAAGATAAATGCCTGGTAAACTCTAACAAGACATTTGGAGAGGTGGTCGTCGTGGTGAGGACGTGACACACACACTGAGATTCTGTATTTGTGCGGTGTGTTGACTCTGTGTCTTCTGGGAATGTATGAATCGAAGAAACGCCGAGATGCAGTCATTCTGATCTTCGTATGAGCCTTGGGGGAAGGTGAGTATTCCTTGGGTCAAAGTGAGAGACCACGATTATGAGAAAGTCCATCATAAAGATTTGATGTGTGTACAATGTACCTTCTGTAAAATTAAATATGACGATCAGTGAGTCCTTTCTGTTTCGGCACTATGATCATCGTTTGATGTTACCATCTGGGCAGTAGATTATCAAACACAGCGATTACAATTAAATGATCCATTTACATCTTTGAATCGTTCCCATTTTTCGTTTATCCACTACAGTTCTTCTGCGATATGCGACAACATCGTCATCGACGTCCAATATACAGTAATGTACTCATCGAGACAGATGTCCACCTTTCTCTGCTCCTCCTATTCTCTCACATTGCCAGAAGAGACAGTGTGTACTCTAGACAGGTACTCCCATTGTGACTAGAGACGACAACGTTCTCGGCAGTGTACATTCGCAACGCCCATCCCAATCGTCAATCATAATCGATAAACCCATTCAGCCATTCCTCCGAAATTTGCTTTGTAACCTTTTTTTGAATTTATCCCATCCTCTACGCTGTTTTAATTTTCAACTTTAAATCCCAAATGTTAGTTTCAGCTGTCTAAAAACTATAATTCCAGAAATCGTACACTCAAAAGCAATACAATATGGTCTCTCACTCCATTCCGATGGGATACGAAAGTTTAAGGACAGTTTTATTGCATACGGATCCGAATTTGAGGTATTTTTTAAAATCACAAATCTTATTTTAAAAATCAAAATCAACTTTCAGATTCAAAGTCGCTCAGCGGATTCCGAAAATTCGACTAATGGAAAAGGCAGTCCCATTAAAAATCAAATCCTTGTAGTTAAATGCATCTGAAACCGTAATCAACAGCCAATCCTACAAACTTGGAGTCTACCGTCATTATTCTACAGAGGATATTACTAGAAGTATAAAAATGGACAACATTAATGGAGGTGTGAGCTGTGATTTGGATCAGTATGGATTCGAAGTTCCAAACTCATCCACTACGATTCTAAACGGAGATGTTTCATTTCGAACGGAAAATGCAGCTGATCGTCGAAATGATACAGAAGAAACAGAGCTTCACTATCGGTTTTCACTGAAAAGACATAAGAATTATCTAGCAAAAATCAATTACGATGAATCGCGGGGAAAAACGCGATTCAATAAAGCAGGTTTACAAATGATGATGGACGCATGTCGCAGCAAACTGCTTCCGTTCAATTACCGACGAAACAACTTATCTCCTCCATATACATGTTACATCCAACTCACTATTACCCAAGAAGATGCCACAACGATTCAGAGATATGAGTATAATCACAAACTCTACGAAGCCGCTAAGAAACTCAACGAAACTCTCTTCGCGAATCGTCATGTAATCATTGTCAATCATTTACAGAGTGCTTGTTTTGATGTTTTGCGTATGCCAATTGGATTAAAGATATCCGCTAAAGTTGTATCTGGAGATAGTAGACAATTAATCCCCATTTCTTCAATTGTGGACTCTTCGAAGCCTTTGCCTGAATTGAAAATTAATGTCACATCAGAATCAGCTTTGACTTTACAACACAGTTTTGTGAAAAATGCGGTAGTATTATCAATTTGGACACATAAGAACAGAGTCGATCAGCTTGCGAGGGCTTTTAAAACAATGGAAAACCAACGAGTTCACTTCAAATTTTGTCGATTTGACAATCCGAGTGCCAATGATTATTATCAACTGTTGCAAGGCTGGCTGGCAATTGAACGAAATGTTGGGTCCATGATAACGTTTGAATTGAATGCTGATCATATTGGTGAATCAATTTTAGAGTTGGTGAGAAATCAAAACGAAATAACAGAGAGTACTGATCGGTAATATGATATTTTTGATTACTTCATTTTCTAGCCAAATTTTCATTTCAGATGTGTTACAGTTCCACTGAGAAATGCCACAAAACTCGAAGTCTTCTACGCGCCTCTTCACGAAGATGAAAACGTGTCCAGATTCTTTTTTGAAGTCAGGATTGAGAAATCGTAGAATTCTCGAAAAGATAATTGATACATTTTGAACTCATTTTTTTCATTTCTATTATTGTATGCTTAATTTATTTAGCATCAACTTTCTAGTCAAACTGTTCTCTACATTTTTTATTCCCAATTCTTCATTTTACTCCTTCAATCCCATTCGTTTGTCCCCATTTTTTGTTTCCGATTTTTATTCGTAATATTCTCCATTTCTCTTTTTACTCCCATTTTCTTGTTCCCATTTTTCAATATCATTTCTTTGGCCGAAAAACAAATGACGATAATAAATGCATTTTTAATAATGATTCTGGAGGTTTAATACTGAAATGTTAGCACGAAATTAGAGTCATGCAAACTGGTGAATAAAAACTATTCTGATCTCAAAACAGTCTTTAGGTTTGAGATCTGAAAAAGTTCTAGGAACACAGAGAAAAAAGTCTGTTCTCAATCTGGGCCTTCTGGGAAGGTTGGTCTCCTACATACAGGTCTCCTACGACGTGAGTCATCATCGTCATCGGGGTCCCATCTACAGTAATGTCCTCATAGAGGCAGATGTCTTTTTTTTTCATTTATCTGTTCTTCTTCCTCTCCCACATTGCCAGAAGGGACAGTAGGCCACGTAGACAGGGACTCTAATCGTGGCCAGGGAAGACGTTCTCGGCAGTGTACATTCGCAACGCCCATCCAAACCGTTAGTCACAATCGATCGGTCACTCAGTCATTTTTCCAATAGTCATTCTTCCGAAATCCCTCCGAAATGCGCTTTGTAACCTTTTTTTCTGAATTCATCTCATGCTCCATTATGTTTTAATTTTCAATTTAAAATCCCAAATGTTAGTTTCAGCTTTCTAAAAACTTTTATAATTCCAGAAATCGTACAAAATTCAAAACCAAAACAATATGGTCTCTCACACCGTCCCAATGGGTTACGAAAGTTTAAGGACAGTTTTACTGCACACGGATCCAAACTTGAGGTTTTTTTTAATCCAAAATCTTGTTTTAAACATTACAATAAATTTTCAGATTCAAAATTGCTCAGCGAATTCCGAAAATTCGTCTCACAGAGAAGGCGGTTCCTTTGAGAATCAGATGCTTGGAGTTGGAAGAAAGCACAACCAAAGTCAACAGCCAATCCTACAAACTTGGAGTCTACCGTCATTATCATACAGAAGACATACCTATGGGAATTAAAAATCGTAACAAATGGGGAGGTGTAAGCTGTGATTTGGATCAGTATGGATTCGAAATTCCTAACTCGTTCGATCCTATTCTAAACGGAGATGTTTCATTTCGAAGGGAAATTGCAACTGATCGTCGAAGAGATACAGAAGAAAGAGAGCAACGTTTGCAGTTCTCACTGAGAAGATATGAAGAAGCTCTAGCAAAAATCAATCAATTGGAATCGGAGGGAAAAACGGTCGACGACTTTTTAGCTGGACCAATGAATGAGGATGATCAACGTATTAGACGCACTTTGGAAATCCCCAAGGAACAGTTACAATCAGGAGTTAATCGATACCGCAGCGCACTACTTCCGTTCCATTACCGACGAAACAACTTATCTCCTCCGTATACATGTTACATCCAACTGACCATTATCCAAGGAAATGTCACAAATATTCAGAGATATGAGTATAATCATAAACTCTACGAAGCCTCTAAGAAACTCAACGAAATTCTCTTTGTGAATCGTTCTGTAATTATTGCCGATCACTTCCAGAATACATGTGCCGATGTTTTGCGTACACCGATTGGATTCAAAATATTTGCTAATAATGTATACGGATATAATTTCCAAATAATCCCTATGTCTTCAATTGTCGATTCTTCGAGAGCTTTGCCCGAATTGAGCATTAGTGTCACATCCGGTGTAGTCTCGAATTTCTCACACAGTCTTGTGAAAAATGCTGAAACGCTCTCAATTTATATAAATGAGGGAAGAATTAATCAGCTCGCGATCGCTTTGGAAACTATGGAAAATCAACACATTCACATCCAATTTGGCCAATTCGATAACCCGAGCCCAAATGAATATTTTCAATTGTTGCACGGCTGGCTGGCAACAGAACGCAGTGTCGGATTGATGATTACGTCTGGATTGAAAACTGATCAAATTGGAGAAGAAATCTTAGAGTTAGTGAGAAATGGAAACGAGAGAACACAGAGTACTGACGGGTAACTCAACATTTAACTTCAATTTAGTTCCAATTATTCATTTCAGGTCAGTCACAGTTCTTCGGAGTAATGCTACAATACTCGAAGTTTTTTATGTGCCTAATAACGAGGAGGAAAACTTGTCCAGATTCATTCTCGCAGCTAGGATTAAGAGAGCGTAGAATTCTCAGAAAGGTAATCGATCAATGAGATTTTTAACCCAATTTGTCGTTGCCATCATTTTCATTTCGTGTTCCAATTATTTGTTTCTATTCTTTTATCCCAATTGCTCGTTCCCTTTCTTTTGTTGCAACTTTATTCTTTTCTAAATATTCGTCCCCAGTTTTCTCCTAATTTTTATTCACATTTTCAATTTCCCTTTTTTACTCCCACTTTCTTGACCCCATTGTTTCAATGTCTTTTTTTGCTTAGAAACAATTATTGCTGATAAGCACATTTTTCACAAGAATGTTGAAGATATAAAACTGAAATCGTACAGCATGAAATTTGATTCTAGGTAATTTAGGAGTACAAACAATTTAGGCTTCGTTTTCAGTTTGGATATGTATAGGAAAAATTGTAGTGTTGAAAAAATACATTACACAAAATGATGAGGTTAAACCTTTTTGTTTGAAACATTTGATGTAATTAAAGTCAATTCCGCCTCTCCGTCATACATGAGGTATGTTTCTAAATTTTGTTGGTTTTAAAGGTGGGGGGACATGAGAAAAATAATGTTGTCGAAATCCCGTTTAAATATGCTCCTCGAGGAGTTGAACTTGTCGAGGCGAGTATTGAAGGTGCGGCACCGCTACCGACTGAGCTACGCGTGCAAAGAGAAAGCCGCTGCACGATTGAATACAAAAAGGCGAGGACGACAGCTGTACGCAGAGTGACATTAAGCGTTGTACACCGTCACGGTAGAATGCATCCCTAACTACAAAAATCCCCCGTAAAATATCCCGTCCCCCCACCTTTAAGGTCGCTGAAAATAGTTAATTTTTTTATAAATCAGCCCACATTTTGGTATTGCTAGTCTAAAACAAGTTCAAAGAAGAAAGTGGTAACACAACCGTGTAAATACCCACTCACATCGCACCAACTCCTTTCTCTCAATTCTTTCAAGTTCATTGCCTCGCCGGATAACCCCAGCGAAGCGGATCCAAAAATTAAGATTAATGTTCAACACATTCTTTCGAATGGTCGGAACTCCAGCGTACCTTGAGTAACTGGGTTAAAACCGACGAGAACAGCGAGGCGACTCCTCTTATGCATTTCTGTGTACCGACATCAATCGAGGCCCGCGTCGGCCACTAGAGGGCGCGCGTTTGAATAGACGCAGACGCGCGAGGGAGTGTTGCGAGAAGGGGGGGAGGCGACAGACGACGAAAGAAAAGGGGAAAGTGGTGGAGTGGGAGAAAAGAGGGGAGGAGGAGAGAGGGAAAATTGGAGCTGGAGGAGGAAAAGGGGTTGTTGGTTCGACTCCGCGTGGGGCAAAATTTTTTGTTATTGTGATTTCCATTTTTTGTTTTATGTGTGTTGAACTTTTTAGCAACTTAATGATAATTTAGGGAGTTTTTTGCTCATTTTATTTGAAAATTACATCTTTTCAGCCATTTTTTTCATTTTAATTAAATTAAATTTTGCCCACTACAGAGCACAAAAACCTTTCAGTCACCTGACGTTTCTAATATTTATAAAAGTTTATACATTTGAAAATTTCACCTGTTTTTTTTTCAAAACCAAGTTTTTTTTTCCTTTTTTTTTCTTTTTTGACACCAAAAAGTATTCACATGACAATTGATTTTGAGGCTCCACTTTGGTTATTTATTTATTATCATTTTATAGGTACAGTATCCCTGTTTTTGAATATTTTCACTATAACTTTGTTAGTTTTTAAAAGTGAAAGTATTGATAGTTTTCGATATTCGCTGCTGGTTTTTCAGGTAATTAATTTTGAAAATTCGGAAGTTTGAATTTTTGCGTTTTTTGAATTTCAGATTTTTTGGATTTCTGAATTTCGTTCTGAAATTTTGAAATTCTAAAATTCTAAAATTCTGAATTTCTGATTTTTTAAATTTCGGATATCAAAAATAATAATAATAACTCTAAAAACCAAAAGTTCTAAAAAAGATTTCAGATTTTCAAAATTCGGCATTTTGAAAATTTGAAAATTTCGAATTTCTGAATTTCTGAAATTCTGACTCAGAAATTTCTGAAACTTTTTAAATAATGTGAAATAAAACAACTGAAAAAAGAAAACTAAACTTTCTGTAATTTTTGTTTTCAGAACTTTAGAATGTAAAATGATCACAGAATTTCGAAATCTCTGAAAATCAAAAAAAAATTTTAAAATTTTCTTCTAATCCAGATAACCTGTACCATCACCGACATCCATTTCACATTCCTAATGCAACCACTCTCTCTTCTCCCAATTATGTCCGGATACTGTGTTGGAATATTAGCCCGTTGTTTCGATATCTGGTCCCATTACTTAATCTCATTGGTCGTTGGAATGATAGTTGCTCAATTGGAATCTCTAGGAAATTGTTTCGTTCGAAAACATCAAACAATTGCCAAAATAACAAGGAAACATGTGATTCCCAAAAGTATAAATGACGGAGTCACAATGCTTCTTCCATTTTTTCCAATTTTCGGTTATTTGGCTTTCTGTAATGCTGGCATGAAACGAGAGGATCAAATGGGCTATGTCAGGCAGGTAAGATTTTGAAGGATGGGTGTTACCGTATGCATTTTGATGGCGTACAGTGATTAGTGATTAGTGTAAACCCTGTGATAGAAGCCCCCCCTCCCCCCCCTGCTCTGACAAGTTTGAGCCAAATTATCTCGGCTCCTATAAGAAATATCAAAATTGTGTCAACTGATAAAACGTTTGTGATATTATGATCAATATTTTATCAGTTGCCAACTTTTTAAAATCTTTGACAGGAACCGAGATGAATTGGCTCGAAGTTATGTCCATTTTTACCATTTTCAGGAGTCTAAAGCTCGACTGTCCAGTTTCCAAACACTTTGAAAATTTTAGAGGTTTTAAAAGAGACCTAGATTGAAAAGTTTGCATTCACAGAAGTTTCTGAAAATTTCTAGTTTTTTCAGATATTTGCCGATTTCTGGAAGACTCTTCGTTTAACCCGTTTTAGTACTGAAAATGTGAAAAGGGGATCTTCAGAAATCGGCAAATAGCTGAAAAACTAGGAATTTTTGAAGAATTATGTAAATGCAAAATGTTCAATCTAGGTATGTTTCACACTCTCCGAAATTTTCAAAGTGATCGAAAACTTGACAGCCGAGCTCTGGACACCTGAAAAAGGCCAAAACCAACTAAAAAAAATACATTTTTAAGATATCTTATTGATCGGTACTGTATACCCGAAAACCTGTAATAGAAGGGCTCCATACCTTTCAACTTTGATCCTATTTCTTAAGAATTCTTTTCAGCATCATTCTGAATACCTCTCACAGTATTCTAATCTCTCCAATTTCGTCATATACGAACCAAATTTTTGGCTCTACTTTGTAATCTGGTTTGGGTTCTTTGGTGGAATATTCACTGGATTTGTTTTCACCTTTACCACGGTGGACATGTTCAAAATGTTGGGAAAATCGAGACGAAAAATATCTGTGACAAATTTCAAAAGACACCGATCTACTGTTAAAAGTCTATTGGCACAGTTTGCAGCTTCTTCTCTTCTATTAGTCCCGTTATTTTGTTTTACTCTGGTTGTGATGGGTGAATTCGAACATTCTCAAATGATGATTAATATTATTTTGGCAGTTTTTTCCTTGAGATCTTCAGTGAATGCATTGGTTCTAATCGTGACGACTCCTTCGTTTAGGAAGTTTATTTTGAGGTGAGTGACTTGGAAAAATAATTGATTAAGTTGCTTTTTGAAGAAGTTCGAAAGCATAATTTAAAAAAAATGTTTTTAGAGACGAAAATTTTTGCATGGTCGCCAAAAAATTTTTAATGTGTTCAAAATAAAAAGGAAATTCAATTTTTTTTAACTTTGAATTTTTTTTAATTTGCGTTTTCGAACAGTGTCCGTTTTTGACGAAATTGAAAAAAATTGGTTTGAAGTTTTAAAAAATGTGTTATTTCGGAGTGTCGTAGTGATTTTGACAATAAAAACTTTGAGGTTTTTCTGTGTTAGTCTTATTCGACGGGTTTTCTAGGCCATTACCATGGTGGCCTAAAAAACTCAACTTGCAAAAGTTAGGCCACTATGGTAAATGACCTAGAAAACACACCAAGTGAATATCAAGTCGTTTCCAGGTCATAGAAGTTGGTGGCGTAGAAAACTCTACTTGCAAAACTTAGGCCATCATGTTTACCTAGAAAACATATATGGTGTATAACAGGTCATTTCTAGTCTATTTACCATGATGGCCTAGGAAATTCAAAGTTAGGCAATCATGCTAAATGACCCAGAAATCACACGAGGTGCATTTTCAGGTCATTTAACGTGTTTTTAATTTTCGAATTTTGATTTTTCTCTTTTTTAATTTTTTTAATTACAATTTTTTTTCAGAAAAGATTCCTCGAATAATTTCGTCATTGCCACTGTTGCCATTTCCATGAGCCGGAACTCGTTTCAATAAAAAAATATTTTATAATCATTTGGCCTTTTTCGATAATTATATCTTCAAATCTCTATAATTATCTTTGTTTTTTCATATTTTCTATGTATTTTGATTTCTCAAATCCACCTGTCTCTATTACCGTATAATTGGTACCGTATCCTTATTTCTATGCACTTTGACAACTTTGTTAGTAATTTTCAAAAGCGAGAAAATCGATAATTTCAGACATGCTTTATTGACTTTTCAAGTAGAAATTATAGCTTTGAAGATGAAAAAACAGTTGAAACATTTTCAGATTTCCTGTACTATAACCGATGTTCATCTATCATTTCTCATGCAACCTCTCCCATTATTTCCAGTTTTAGCAGGTTTTTCTGTTGGCATTCTGCCAACATATTTCGATGTTTGGACCCATTATTTAATTGTAAGCTTGTAAAATTATTTAGCTCTGTTGGCAAGAAACCGTCAAAAATTTCAAAAAATTTCAAAAAATGGGACCAAAAAAGAAAAGCATTGAAAAAATTTTGGAATGGTTTCGAACGGTTTCTTTTTTTTCTAAAAAATTGTGGCATTTTGTCAACTTTGATCCCATATATCTCGGTTCCTTAAAAAGGTATCAAAAAGTGGTCAACTGATGAAATGTTTATTATAATATCAAAACTATTTTATCAGTTGACAAATTTTTGGTATCTCTTACAGGAACCAAGATAAATCAGCTCAAAGTTAAAAGTCCGGTAGATCGATATACAATTTTTGAAGAAAATTGAAACTCAAAATTTATCAGAAAATTCGAAAAGAATCTTCTTAAGTGTCAAAAAACCCTCTGTAATTTCAAGAAAAAATGCTCTGAAATTTCAAAAAACCTCTAAAATTTCCAAAAAAAAAAATCCTTCAAAATTTCAAAAAAAAAAAATCCTCTAAAATAAATTAAAAACTCTGTATATTTCGAAAAATAAAATGTTTTCGAAACTCCAAAAGTAAAAGCTCCATTATTTGAGCTCAAAAATATCCCATTTTAAGACAATTTTACATTCCAGGCATTAATATTAGGTTGGCAGGAAAGTAACTGTCCATTTTTTATTAGTAAATAACACAAACACAAGAATAATCCAGAATTAGCAACATGCACCGTCGTGATCCACAACATGTTGGCAATGTTCAGGTAACTCGTGGGTACCATCCCTCCAAAAGCCAGCTAGTGGCAAGTCAAAGTATCCCTCCAGTCCATTTTTTCAGCCATCAAGTGTGTTAAAGTCCTTGAGCTCCAGATGACGTCGTATACTTTTGAATAACCAATGATCTGATAGAGCTGAATCAGTTCTTTAACGGGGGTAAAGGAGAACCGTCCAGCCAAAGCGGCTCAGGTACGGCGTGACTTTCCGTGAACATGAGGTTTTTTTCATTTTTACCTGCAGTCAAGTCAGACCTGAGCAGCTTCAGCGGGACCGTTCTCCCTCACCTGCATATAGTCCCGACTGAGCTCTATCAGATTATTGAATATTCGGAGAGATACAACCTCATCTAGAGAATACGAAAATTTGCACCATTTATGTGAAAAACAGGAAAAAAAAATGAATACTTTGATTCGCGGCTAGCTGGCTTTTGAAGGTATTGTATCCACAAGTTATCTGAACATTGCCAACATGTCGTGGACCACGACGGTGCATACTGCTAATCTTGGATTAATCCTGCTTTTGTATTATTCACAAATAAAACAAGGGACAGTTACTTTCCTGCCAACCTAATAGTATCCGCGATTGTGGCTCAATTGGAAAGTTTGACATTTTGTTTTGTCAAAAAACATCAAACAATTGCGAAAATCACCAAGCAGCATGTTGTACCTGAGAATGTTCACAATTTTTTGGCATTTTGTCTTCCGTTCGTCCCTCTAATATTCTTCTTGTCGTTTTGTGAAGCTGGCATGAAACGAGAAGATCAGATGGAATTTATTAAACACGTAAGCAAGTTTTGAGTCCAATTATCTTGATTCCATATTGGTGATATTATGATGAACAGTTCATCAGTTTAAAACTTTCCGATATCTTTTGAAGGAATCGAGATACATGAGCTTAAAGTATTTGTTATGTCTCTCCCCCATTTTTTCAGACCCATCCAGAATACCTTCTTGAATTTTCAACAATCCCAAACTTTGCAATTTACTCTCTCAATTCTTGGTTCCTATTTGTTATTTTTATGGCATTCTGTGGTGGATTCGTATGTGCTTTGGTCTTCACTTCAACCACTTATGACATGTTTCGAATGTTGGGAAAAGTTCGACGAAAAATTTCAATATACAATTTTCGAAAACATCGGTCTACTGTGAAAAGTTTGTTGGCTCAATTTGCGGCTTCTTCTTTGCTTTTGGTCCTTTTGTTCACTTTTGTTATTGTTATAATGTTGGATTTGGAACATTCACAGAGTAAGGAGAGTTACTGTCATCTAAAAACTTTTCTTTTGAGCTCATATATCTCATTTCAAGTCGGAGATATCAAAAAATGGTCAACTGATAAAATGTTTATCATAATGTCATCAACATTTTATTAGTTAATACAATTTTGACATCTCTCACGGAAATTGAGATAATTGAGCTTAGATTGCAACTATAAATAATTCAAAAATGTATATTTACAGTAATCATTCAAATCCCACTTGCCGTATTTTCTCTGCGATCATCTGTTTATGCAATTGTTCTAATTTTCACAACACCCCCATTTCGAAATTTCATATTACGGTTGGTTTTTGAACTTTTATTGTACGCCGTAAAGTCTGTTATTAGGGCTCCACACATTGTAAAGCTTGAGCTCAATTATCTCGGGTCCTATAAAAGGTATCAGAAAGGGGTTAACTAATAAAAGGTTGCTTTCAACTTGATAAACATTTTATCAGTATACTACTTTTTTATATCTTTTGAAGGAACCGAGATATATGAGCTCGAAGTTGACGGTTCGGCAGGCATTCTATTTCTGTTAGAGGTTACGGTAGGTACAACAAAAAACAAAATTTTCCAGAAAACGACAAAATCAACATTTCATAACAGCCGCTAGGACAGTTTCCGTTGCCAGAAGTTCATTTTTGTGATTTCCGAGAATACCAAAAAGCCAGAAGACGTCAGAATTGGAACTTTTGAAAATATATGGAAACGACAAATGCTTTGCCATTCACCAAGAATTATAATCTCAATTTTTTTTTTTGTGATTTTTTGAACTATCAAGAACATTTAGAATGAACTTCGATAAAATAAGTTTATTCAAGTGAAAAAAGTACAATACACAAGACACAAACCACACTGGTTTTTTCTTCTGCGTCTCCACTTCTCCTCTCTCTTTTCCCTCCGTTTATCTACGCCATGCCGACCTTGTCTCTCGTCCGCCTCATTGGCTCAGTGGCAGAGCGTCTGTCTAGTAAACAGAAGGTCGCTGGTTCGATTCCAGCATGAGGCACCGAACTTTTTTTCGTTTTTTGGTGGTGGGCATCCGAAACACTTTTTGGGACTTTTGAAAAACAAATCGGCGGTACGAGAGGGTTGTGAAGATAAGGACCACTGCGTTGACAGAAGAGTGAAGGGAGGCAATGGCGAATGAGATTTGAACAAGGACTAAATTTAAAGAAACTTGGATTTTAAAGTTTTTTAAAATGAAAACTTACTCTGTCCCTTTTCAAACTTTCCAACTGCAAGTAACATGAGTGCAAATGGAGGAGCAAGGCATAGCGAGGATGCCGCAAACTGCGCCAGTAAACTTCTTACAGCCATTTCGTATCTTTTGTAACTTTTTCCAGAAACCTTCAATTTCAGTCCCCGTAACATTTTTCGCATATCAATAGTGGTAAAAGTGAATGTGAAGCCAGAAAAGAACATTCCAAAACTAGAGATAAAGAGCACAATCACAAACCATCCATCGATTTCGTAAATTGAAAAGTTTTGCAAATTTTTGAACTTTTGAAAATATTCTGGATAATTCTTTTCAACGTATTCCATTTGGATGCTTCTACTAATTCCAGTATTGTAGCAAGCCCAAAAAGTTAACGCTGGAGATATAATTGAAAAAATTCCGCCAGAAAAATAAACATAATTTGAGATTATTCTTCCACTTGTAACCAGGCCAATGGTCCGATGTTTTAAAGCAAAACACCATACGAGTGCCGATATTTGGGATACCATAAGACACGTCCATGATACCATAAGATAGTGACAGTAGATATTGCACAGTCTTACTAGGAGGCCATTACAGTAAGCTGCGATAATTGGAAATAATGGGATTGGTTGCATTAGAAAAGTCCAGAATATGTTTGTAATCGTGCAGAGAATCTGAAATTCGTAAATCAGAAATTCAAAAAACCTAAAATTCAAAACAAATTCCAAAAACCTCAAATTGTAAAAAATTCAAATATCAAAATTTCGAAAACTCAAAAAACCTAAAACCTGAAAAATTCTAAAACTATAAATTTCAAGCAATTCAAATAAATTCAAAAATTCGAAAATTCAGAAAATGGGAAATTCCGAATTTCCAAATTTCCGAAATTTCAGAATTTCAGAATTTCGTAATCTTAGAAACTCAGAATCTCAGAATTTTAGAACTTCAGAATTTCAAAAGTCCAGAATTTCGGAATTTCAGAATTTCAGAATTTCGTAATCTTAGAAACTCAGAATCTCAGAATTTTAGAACTTCAGAATTTCAAAAGTCCAGAATTTCGGAATTTCAGAATTTCAGAATTTCGTAATCTTAGAAACCCAGAATCTCAGAATTTCAGAACTTCAGAATTTCAAAAGTCCGGAATTTCGGAATTTCAGAATTCCAGAATTTCGTAATCTTAGAAACCCAGAATCTCAGAATTTCAGAACTTCAGAATTTCAAAAGTCCGGAATTTCGGAATTTCAGAATTTGAGATTTTCAAAAATTCCGAAAAAATTCGAAAAAGTCAAAAAATTTCCCACCTGAAAAACGAGTAAAAAATATCGAAAACTGTCAACTTTATCACTTTTAAAGAAAACCAAATAAACAGTTCCCATATTGATGAGCAATGATAATGTACCAATACAGTGATAATAATTGATAAGTCGATGTGGTGTTGAAAAATCAACAACCATCTTATCTTATGATTCTATTTTACTTAGTAGAATGGGAGATGTTCGAAATTTTTCGAATTTTCGAGAAACAAAAAACATCAGAAAAAAATGAAAGACTAATGAGACAAACAAACATCGCTCATCAGATGACTTCCTGTTCTTTGAAGGGAAATGAATCGGTGAGACGAAAAAAGTTGAAACTAGAGACTAGGAAAAATGAGGAAATAAGGCTCCGCGTCACTTCGAAACCGGCCATTTCGAAAACGGTCATTTCGAAACCTGTCGTCTTGAAATCAGTCATTTCGAAACCGCGACACTTCGAAACCAGTAATTTCGAAACTGCGAAATTTGCACGCTGCAATTTTTATCTTTAATTTAAGCCTCAAAACTTCCAATTTTCAATTACATTTTTACATGAACGTGTTTTTTTCCGGTTTCGAAATGGCCGGTTTCGACTTGACTGGTTTCGAAGTGTCACTGTTTCTAAATGACTGGCTTCGAACTGACTGGTTTCGAAATGACTGGTTTCGAAGTGTCAGGTAGTTTCGAAATGACCAGTTACGAAGTGTCGCGGTTTCGAAATGACGCGGAGCCGCAAATATTGGACATCTGAAATTGTTTAGAAAATCTAAAACCTCATCAATTTTATTCAAAAAATACAGTTCTCATGCAAAACTGAAAATTTTAGAAGCCACAGCTTTCATTGCTTCTCCCGACATTCTTTCCAAATTCATTCCATACCCAAGTTCCTTCATTTCCTTTAAATTCGTTATTAACTTCATTGTTGCACACGATAAATGTGGCAAATCGTAAGATCTTGCCAACCACAAAAATTCACAAAATCTTCCGGAACGTCCTATGGGTTCAGTTTCTCTCAAAATCTGAATCATTCGAAGTTCACATTTCCGGGTTACGGTATAGATTTTGAAGCGTTTGGCAAGAGGTAGAAGTTGACGGATTTGAAATTCTGGAAAAAAATGCTAAAGAAATATCCAGAAATTTTGTCTACCATTTAATAGAATAAAAGCCCCATGAACAATTTGCAACATAAGTTGTATAAATCCAAATTGACTTTCCTTGACAATTGGTATTTTTTTGAATTTTCCTTTAATTAATTCAGAAATTACAGGAGAATGGAAATGGAGCATCTGGAATTTTTTTTTTCAAAATGTTCAAAACTTCATTGCTCATCCTTAATACCTGTGATTTTGAGTACAAATCATGTTCGGAGGTTTTCCAGGAATAAAATTGAAAGTATTGCTCATCATTGAACGAATCATGAAAATTGAAATGTGAAAACTTCACATTAACATCTAAAATTCTATCAACAAAAACATGAATCTCCACTTCCAGCGTTCCAGAATCATTCAAAAATCCATTCTCCTTGGTTGGTTCCACATCAAAATCCTCATAAAATCTGGAAAATGTACTCTCATAGTTCACAAAAAACGGGCTGTCCATTTGATAATTCGACTCTTGCTCCTTCTGATTTATAAGGAACATTCTGGTTTGTCCCAGAAAAAATTTGGATTTGTCGAGTTTGCGTTTTGGAGTGATCGTGAAGCTGACGGTAGTTCCAACATCAGACCTTTGACAAGACACTCTTATTGTCCTGAAAATTTCTAGGTTTTCTGAAAAAAGCCAAGTAAAGGCCATACCACTTCTTTCCTGCTAGAAACATAATTCTATGATAATCAGCTGCTGGATTTCTATCCACATTTCGAACTTTCATTCTCCAGACCTTGGCATCTGAAAGTTGACATAACACAACCTGTTTCTTTCAATTCTTTCAAGTTCATTGCCTCGCCGGATAACCCCAGCGAAGCGGATCCAAAAATTAAGATTAGTGTTCAACACATTCTTTCGAATGGTCGGAACTCCAGCGTACCTTGAGTAACTGGGTTAAAACCGACGAGAACAGCGAGGCGACTCTAATTATGCATTTCTGTGTACCGACATCAATCGAGGCCCGCGTCGGCCACTAGAGAGCGCGCATTTGAATAGACGCAGACACGCAAAGGGGTGTGAGTGAAGAGGGAGGGGAGGAGAGGAGAATAGACGGCAGACGGCGAAAGAAAGGGGAATGTGGTCGAGTGGGAGAAAAGGGGGAGGAGGAGAAGGGAAATTTGGAGCGGGGGGAGGAAAGGGGGTTGTTGGTTCGACTCCGCGCGTGGTAGTTTTTTCTAATTTTTGTTTTTTTTTTCTTTTTGGATTTTATGTGAGCTCATGGAGTACTGTAGATATTGCCTATTTATGTTTAGTTTAGACCTTTATTGCAGTGTTAAGACTGGAAAATGGCTGGTGGAAATATGTTAGTGGTTCAAAATCTTTTTACTTTGATTTTCAAAATGTTCATTTTGTGTGATAATACTGTATACTGTCAGTACCAATAGGATATACAAAACGTGTTTTTCAATTAATTTTTGACCATTTCTACCATTTTCA